CGAATAGACGAATTGTTGCAGAATTGTTATTGTTCGGTAGAATTCTTGTAGCTTCTACAAAATATGTGTTTTTTTCTAACTGGAAAATGATGAAGAAAATATTGGATGAAAGAATGAAATGTGGAATTGATATTGTGACCAACGAATTGGAAATTTTATAAAATTGATATTCATTCGTGTAAGTTGAGAGTTGCGTTGTTTTTTTAAATATTTGTATAATAATTTAGGTATTTTATAACACTCCGTCACGCGAGAATTAATTTAATATGCTGAAATTCTAGCAATCTGATAAGAGCAATCAATTATTCGTGCAATCGTAAACGAACGGGTCATTTAATGCATGGGCTACGGACCGGTTTAAAATGACCCATTTCAATTTTTCATTTCACAATTATTGAAATCGTGCAAAAGTTTCTGCGGGAAGATATTAAATAAATTCATTTACCGGTGTATATTTACTTTGTAACAGTAGTCCATTAAGATCTCGACAAATATACTTGCGTAATATTTATAAGATACTAAAAACAAATCACTTTGACTACTTGGTATTTCTAGCATCGAGTTTTGAAAGGAACAATTATCCGTATTTATATGTTGTTTTCACGGAGAGAGGAAGCTACTTTTTTTATTTGTCATCGTGATCAATAAAACACACCTAACGAGTACCGACACGATCAATGATATTTAATCTTCATAGATATAAGAATTATCGGATTAAACAGGATTAAGGTCCCGTTGATGAAAAATGAATGAATGACAATAGGTACATCCTCTTGATTGTTAGTCACTCTATTAACTAAACATTTTCAAAGATAAGATAACCCTGAATATCCATTCTACTTTAGATACAAACAGACGACACAGTTAATAAAAAAATTGCAGTGCAACTTGATAACTCTAAAAATTTAACGAGCCACTCAAGAGTAATAACTGTCGTTTCATTGCTCTCATTAGCTGGTATTCATTAATCTTCTTCTAATTCCTGTTTACTACAAAAAGATGCTGACAAAAACAGGGCATTAAAAGGTCGTCAAAGCGCGACGTTACGAAGGGAACCGTACTACGAAGTGTTACATTCGATATTTTCGTGGTTTCTCGCGAATAATTTCCTCTCAGAAACGAAGATATCGTAGCAGTCTGGAATACTCGTGACCGAGGAGAGAGAGACGATTACAATAGAGCGAACAATCTGGCAAGGAAATCGGAGAAACGTGCACGAAGAGATTTCTTCTCGATGCGGGAACCTCGGCATGGATCGCATAGGACAGATATATGACAATAATGGCAAGGGCTCGTAATATAACCGTATTTGTGGCACAACCAGACCCGCAGTCTGGGATAAAATCTCCGGTTTTTCCTCCGGTAGATGTGATTAAGATTCCAAACGTATGCCTACCTCGCGCGTTTCAATTCTCAGAATCTGTCTTGCCTCTTTTTCTATCCGCGCGGCAGATAGAAAATCTCTTACATAAGATCGGCAACAAGACGCTAGGCCGTCTATAAATCCTCCGCGATAATCGTATCGTTCGTTAAAACGATATGTCCGCGACGAGAAACGATTAATAACCGATTACATTAACTTTTACGAATCATTTCGTAATTATCATTGCCCTCGTAACAATATTTTACTGTCCTCGTGTTCGTTCTTGTTACCGTAACGGCGAATAATAACAATTTTATGGAACATTCTTCAAACCAAACGAGAAATTCAGCTGCGTCAGAACCGGAGTGCTGAAAAACTCGATGAAAATATATTTAGGATTGAAACAGTTTATTCGCTTGCAGTTGAACAGCGAATCATCGCGAGTTTATAATTTATCAAAATTGAGAAGTTGAGAATAAAAATCGGAATTTTCCAGAGGATTCCGTTTTCGCGATATTAATTTAAATTGAATGAATTAAACTTTCGATTTATTGGAACTGTAATATTAATGGAGTAAATTGAACGTTTTGCTCTAGTTCTCCAATGTTCCACTATAAATCGAACACTAACTCGCGATCAATGAACAGTATCAAAATATTCCATCGTGATTGACACAATTTCCTCGGCGATTTCTTAATTTCGCCCCGGATTCTTAAACCGTATCGCGAAGCCATAATAAACCGCGCCGTCGTAAACAGTGTATACTCGGTTTCCAGGGGTTTGTATTCGGTGGCCCGGCTGCGCACCGCCGCAAAGCTGATTATAATACTTTATACCGGCACGGTATACCAACACACGGCGGCACAGCAATAAACGTGATCCCTATTAATAATCAAATATTTATGAACAATATACCAACCGTTTACGGCACGACCGCGCATTAATGGCGCATATCGGCCTTACGAATTATAAAATCAATTTTTCACGTAGCCAGTGAATGAATGCTTCTCGGTCGGTACACGCGAAATGATTTACGTAATCACCGGCGATACCGGATTTACCGAGTTTTTAATTGGTATTAATTTCCGACGTTAACCTCCTCGCTCGCTTCTACGGCCGGGACCACGAATCAAACTTTTATTTATACTTCGACGAAATTAACTCGGCGTCGTCGAACGAATTTATGGATTGTTGAGGGGAGAAACGGCGAAACAGAAGGCAGAGATCGTTTCAGGGTTTCGCGTACGGTTTCCTGCGCGAAATTGCGATACACCGATGCCACCGTTCGCTTCGTCCGCGGCGTAACGCGTTTCAGAAACTTTTATGAAGCCAGGTACCCGGAATCCTAACCTCCGCGCCAGACAAAATCTTCCGTCTCTCTATCCCGGACTGGGATTATTGCATTACGTGCCTCGCCGCGATTGTATCAACATATTCGAGCTATCGTCGAGTCATCGAGTCATCGTCGTCCACGTGAGAACTGGGTCTCCTTTCGATTCGCTGCTTTCAGGCGTTCGTTTTTCTCCTTTTATCCCTTTTGTTCGTAACCAGACCGCGCGCGCCAGTCTATATGCGTCCGTTGATTATATTGAAGCACTAGTAAGCGAACGGAGTAAGTACAATGTTCCGCAGAATTTAACGCGGCTTCGGGTTATTCTTAACACAGCGGAAAATCATATTTTATCTGTCCTAGTTCCTTCAAATTGATTCGTATAATGGATTTGCATAAACATCAGCCGCGTGGAAACAAATTAATTCAGATTAATATTCGTTTTAACGATGAGTGAACTTCGCTCGAGACATACTCAGTTTTCCACTAATTAATTGACTTTTTCATTGGACAATGCTAGATATCCGTATGCTGCAGCTACAACTGAAAAATTGTAATTCCAGATTGTGTATGGTAATTCCGAGTGAGGTAGCTCGAGGTCATTTACATTGTCAAATATCTATATTTTCAATTGTTTTTAATGGTATACTGAACCTTCCTCAGAAACCTATTTAATTATTTTCTTTACATGTATTTACTTTCATAACAGATATTTTATTTTTGTTTGGTGTTAATGATGTTTACTATGTAACACTTTCTTTTAAAAAAGAGAACCATCTCTGCTTGACTTATCCCATTTCAAAATCTGAAATCTTAGTTACGAATAAAATCTTCAAAGAACAGTCTATAGGAATGAAAACTGCAAAATCTACGGATTCAAAAATTTATCTCACACAATTTGATCGTATTCTTTTAAAGTTATATTTTAAATGTTGTAAGTAGTGAAACATAACGTGAGTAGTCTCACGATAGTCGTTGATTATTATTATTAATATACAACTCCCGTTGAACTTACAATCGAGAAGATTTCTGTCGTTATTCGACAATATCCTTCGACAATGGATCTGACTCGCAACCTTTGCCTATTTAGCACCTGACAGATGCCGCAAATTCCTCTCGATGTTAATTTATTGTGTGCACGTTCGATTGGACGTGTAAAAAAAAGTGAATTTAGGTTAACGACGCGACGGTAACAAATGCCGGAACCTTGATACTGGTAACGCTGAATAAGCAAAGAGCGGATCTGTCTTTTCCCGTCTACTGACTACAACTTGAATATACTGGGAAAGTAATTATTATACAGCAATTATTTCAAATGCGTCAATGCTCCCACTTACTGTTTTTCTTCGATAGTATTCAGCGAATGCTGCGTTACAATCATTTTGCAAATCATCCAATTAAAACATTTTTGGTGCACTTAGTTTATTACACTGTCATGCTATAACACAGTGAATGTCAATTTGAGATACTCGCGTATCTAGTAAACGATCAGTTCAGGACGCAAATTAGGTAACACTAAAGAAAGTTCATTTATGGAAAGAATTATATGTTACGAGTGACTAGTACACTTACTAACTAATTTGGTAATGAAATTTATTTCTTCGATTTACGTTAGCACACTGAATCAGGTTAAATTTGATTTAGGAAAATATCTTGAGACAAGCTCAATAATTACACTAAATATTCATTCCATTCTTCATAAATATCAAAACATATTACATTTTTTGTGTATCAACAAACATCCGTGCTGATTTCAAATTTTGAAATTATCAGTACCTATATGTATTTATTTATTGTTCTATTGATTGATTTCAATCCCATTATTTCATTATAAAGCGATAGAGACGTACATTTAAAATTATATTAATTACAAACATACGTCGGCATTACAATTTAGAATTGAATTGTCCAGCGATTTGCAAATAACAAAAGATTCATGGCAATCAATATAGAGAATTAATTAAACGATTACAGAAGTATAATAATGGCACAGAATAATAATACACCTAACTACTATGTGTAAATTCTCGAAAAAAACGTACATGGAATGTTTTTGGATTAATCAAATTGTAACATTTCAACCTTATTAATAACATTAATTCTCACTATTTATTCATATTAGTATTACAATATCATTTACAGTATTAATTACTACCAATTATTAATTATCCAATCCAAGAACATGTTATAATAGCCGTTTGTCCCAAGAATTTAGAAATATAAGTTAGGTTACTATTATTCTGAACCACTCGTACTTCATTCGGTTGGATGAGTCTAACGAGTCGCATTTTTTTAAATAAATTTCAGACGAATATGCACACGTCGTTTCCGTATGATGGTGGACGCAGTAGTGGCGGAGGCGGCGGCGGTGGCGGAGGTGGTGGCGGTGGTGGCGGTGGAGGAAGGGGCGTTGAATATGGCGCCGTACGACGTCCCGACGCCCTTCTACCACCCCCGGGGCTCGATCAGACCGACCTCGTTCTCCACAGCAGCCTCGTAGACGACCCCCAGGTGAGCGACGATGTACGTAATCGCAAAGCATTTTCTCTATTACTGTTCTACCGCAGCGCCGCTTTAATCGAATCGCATCGCGAAGATCCTACGTTGACCCACGCGAATCTCTACGAAGAATACAGTCAATTTCCGTTACCTCGGGTCATTCCATAAATAATAGAATTGGTTTTTGGAGAAACGAAAAATGAATTTGTATAAAACGTTCTATATATCTTCAACAATTTAACAGCTTTGTCGTGTTCACCGATATAGTAAAATGTGCCACGACAAAGTTGTTCGGTTCGAAGAATAAAAAAATGTTGTTTTAAAGAAAATTAGGAAATTGTACCTTCTCTTTTCATTTCTAAACAAATTAACAATGGATGAAGCTTTAATCCTAGAATCTTCATTCTGTCTGGAACCATTTAATTCGCACTCGATTTGCATCACTTTATGCATGTCTCCCGTGAATATTGGCATATTGCTTTCTACATGTTTAATAATTCCTTTCGTTAGTTTCTTAAACGATTAACTGTCTTGTATACTCAATAATGTTCCTAAACTCGTCGTTCCCACGTGTACAATCTCACAATCCATTACTTATTTACGCGTATTCTTTTTCATACTATTAAAGTGACACGCTATAAGTAGTCCAGAAATCAGAAATTTCTTACAAACCTATCTTCTTTTTTAGGTATACCGATTTACATTATTATTTCACTGTTTCGTTTCAGAACACAAACGTAGACGACGGAGGCTTCATGAACGATCTGCCTCTCCTAAAAAGTAAGTAAACTTCGATTTCTTCTTTCTTCCAACTTTAACACATTTTCCGAATCTTACATTACTTAATTCCTAAACTACTTAGATTACTTAATAAACTTAGGCGACTCTCGTACAAAGTGCCAATGCATTTAGTGTTAGCACGTCCGCTATCACCGTTTACTTTGGAAACTATCTTCTCAGTCGCAACATTCCCATAATCCCAACAAACCTTTCAAATAAAATATTCAAAAAATAAATCTAAAACGACATACCGAATTCTTAAATACAATGTCACATCTGATAACTTTAACCCTGCACCGAGAATACGGTTTTCACCAACTTGATCAAGAATACAGGCTCGGTGTGGACAGATATACAATATATAGACTTATATAGACTATAATAAATATTTTAGAATTTTTTCAGATTGTTACAGACCTCACAATAATAACAAATCAATATACTTATAATAATCCATAATTTAATATACAAAATGATATTTTATCAAAATCTTCATATCACTTTGCAACAAAAATTAAAAATCGTGATAAAGTCACAAAGAAATGAGACTTTCGAGTAGCCTATAATGGTCCTTATGGCCAACTAAGGGTTAAATACCATTATCTATAATATTAATTTAATTTTCCTACAATAAAGTATAGGATTGTAATCGTCACGGAATGTGACGTTACCAGCGGGCGTGTTAAAGAACCATTTTTTTGGCTCGTCCAGCTGGCGCGCAACCATCTTAAACCCCGCGTTTTATCCGCACGGCTGCGTTTTCCTGCGTTGTGGCCGCGCGGGCGTCTCAATTCGAAGCGGCTTTCCTCTGATTCGTAACTCCGAGTTACCGTCGAACACACACCGTCCAGCGACCCCTTCGAAACGAAATTTATTCCGTGGCGAGACCGGCGGATTTACGCCGCGCGAAAGCGCGAAACGCCGCGTCGCGTCGCGTCGCGTCGCAGGGGGATAAACGCGGCGCGAAACCGCCGGCCATAATCCCGCCGCGCGACCGGAAATATAAAGTAGCCACGCCGGCAACTTGTCGCTCTTAATTAGAATTTATCTCCCTCTACGTCGTATCGGCTGCTCGTCCGTGAACGGGGCTTGAATTTTAACCGCGCGGATAGGTAAAAAGGCGGATGGCCTTCGCGCGCGCAGCGCCGTACGCCTCTTAACGTGGCAAGAACGCCTCACAATTGTGAGCGCGCCCCTGAATGAAAAGAAACGAGAAAAAATGAAGAAATAAACAGATTCGGATGGGTGGGATTCCGTTTTGATAGCCGAAAACGGCGTTTTCTTGCTAACTTTGTTGCTTCATGGAATGCCGTATCGCTTTGTTGCTATTTGTTGCTAGTGTAGGGCTACTAAAATAAAAACTAAGTCCGTAGTCAGGTTAAATATATTTATTACGCGATGTGGCTCTAACGAGGAACGGCGACTAACTAACTTTTCCTCAACGCTTTTCTAAGAAGGAAACCTCTTCAGACGCGGGCGTACGTGACCGAGGTCCTGGTGGTCCCCTCGGTCGTAAATTAGTCAATGGGCCTGGTCTATCTCTCAGGTCCCCAAGTATTGACGCGAAAAAGGGCGAACCGTCTACACTAGTTTGTGAATGAACATTGTGGACGGTAATCGGTATTTGGTGAATTTGGTAACAGACATAGGGCAGAATGAATTTCGAATGAGACGTTGAATTTTTTTAATTTGAAATATTTAATTTAGAAAGTATGAGCAATTGATTATATTGAAGAGAAAGAAAAAGAAGGCTTTAAATGGGTTTGATGGTGGTTTTATAGCTAGAATGTTAGTATATTCGGGTTGGAATGTATTTGATAGAACATTGTTAATTTTTTGGTAACACTTGCTATAAAAATCAATTAAATCCTACATGTTACAAGATATATCTCCTTTTTTGCAAACACTTCAGTAATTGTAGGATATATAATTACTTGATAAAATGTTGCAACTCCAACAAGAAATGGAGGAATGATATGAATTACAAGATTGCTTTTCTTTTGAAATATACACAGTATGTCATGCACCTTTTAATTATTAATTCGCCGAAAATGTATTAGACAGCTTGGTCACTTTTTATCAGAAGACTTTTTAAGTTTTTACTGTGTCATTACACAACGTTAGAGTCCCACACGGTCGAACTGTGTGATCGTTGTTCAACCGACGTAATCGTGGCAAAAGGGGTTAAAAAACTTTTACTGTTAACTATACATTCAAAGCACATGTCCCGAAAAAAATGGACAGCCATAAATCGAAACTCCTTCGATAACTCGTATACATATATTCCGCGAACCTGTCACGTTACCGTGTCTGTCAGAGTGTCCACTGGCCGATCGAAAAAAGAATGTCATTAATAATTAACCAGCTTTTCGATCGTTACACGCTTATCGCGATAAACGCCAACTGCGATCATAGGCCCCGGTTAGCAGATAAATTAATGCCGAGTCAACAAATCATTCGTGCAAAGTTACAAACAGCTTAACACGAGAAAATATTACAGTTCACCGCGTCGGGAAATTGATTTCCCGGTGATCAACATGAAAATTAAGTGTTACGTGGCCGTGAGATAACAGTCGATAGGCGATCGACCCGATACAACCTTCATTTCGCTCGAAAATTGCGGCAGTTAGCGAATCGTACTTTTACAACGATCACGTTCTGAATATTTCGAACTATAATGAAAAGTGTCAGTGACCTAATAATAATAAAATTCAAAACCTCGCGTAGATTTTTATACGAAAATTAGATTTACGAATAAGAAGACAAATATATTCAATAATATATTTGTAACATTAAACTGTAACGCGATGTAACATATGTGATACTTCGGATTCTTAGATTATACCTCGAAATACGTGTGATCGAATTTTACTCCTTTTTTTACCTTTTTTGTGAATACGTATAGTTTATTTTTTGAGATATTTCTTCTCGAATCCTCGCTCAGGCCGTTAATCGCCTCATTAAATCGATTAAACGAGATTGTACTGTATTTTTGCATAAGGAGTCACTGTGGCAGCCGTTTATATACACACTTTCGGCCGCGCCTCGTGAAGGAACGCCCATTCGCCACGTATAGAACCGCCGTGACGGTCCGTTCAAGGAGGTTTTTCGTGTAGGTGCGTAAACGACGCGTATAGGACGGAGGCGCACAGGTGGACTGGCCAATAATCACGGTTGCGTAACGGCGAACCAGTTATCCAGCGGTTGAGCGCGGAGGATGTGTACACCAGGTCCGAAGTAAGGATGTTTCGATAGCATGAAAGCATCAAGACTTTTGTTCGTTACTCGTATTGGAGGAAAGTATCGATATCCGCCTAGTGTGTATCGAAACAAAAATAAAAAAACTATTCGAAGCATACTCGCAAAATTGGATCGTATATATTTTGAGGTATCATTTAGGAATCTCAATGATTTAATTTGTCGATAATCAAAATTTTTAACGTTTTGGATTGCAACAACTAGGGACTCAGTTAATACTCCGGCGGTAGATGTTTTTGACTATTTAACACTAAAGACAAATACTTTCACTCGAGTACTGCGATGAATATATGAAGAAATTTGTTCAAAGTTTCTTTATATATTTGTTGTAGTATTCAAGTGAAACTATTTGTTTTTATAATCATTCTGGATAATTAACACTTTTAGAACATCTATAATGGTAAAATTGAAAAACTGAATAATGGTGATTAGGAAAACTGAAATCCGTCATTTTGATAGCTGCAATACTTCTAGTGTTAATAAGCATCAGTGTTACAAGTTCTTCATATTATTACCAATACATTTTTTTAGACATTTTATCGAACATGCTTCTGTGACATGCGATGATCACGTTATTTAATGTTACATAATCAATTGTGAAGACAAGTTGTGTTAACACTAGATTTACGGACATTCACTGTTACAGTTTGTCCTATCGTTCTTATAAAAATTGACATCCGTTCATTTATATTCTAGAAATTACAGGTTACAAGAGTAAACAATTACGATACATACCCATTTGTGTCTCTGCATCAATCAAAATCAATCCAAACATTTACCAAATAACGTTTATAAAATTCAATATGAATCAAGTTGACTCGTTCCATAAATCTAGTGTTAAATCGGTGAGAACTTAAATGAAGTCTTTCGCAATTTGGGTCAAAACAGATCCAAATAAAAAGTACCGACATCTTATTTGCATTTAGTTGGGTTGGAACATCCTTAGTCAGAAAAGACAACGTCCCTAGTTTGAATTGCGATTCAGCTGCGATCCTCCCGGTTTTGCGCGTGATCGCGGGAACCGTATCGCGGATCGCGGCCAGACGGACGCGATACGTTGCGAAAGTGTCACGGGCCCGCTTGGTAGGCCCGTCGCAGCCGTGGCAGACGGATTTTACCCCCCAGGTGTTTTCCTTCTACACCGCACACCGAGATGGCTGGAATCTCGAGCAAGACTACTTTCGAGAAGAGTGACGCGAAACGTTGACGTCAAGACTTAAATCAGAATGCAACTCTGTTACAGTTCTGAGCGAAAATGAGAGTGATTCTTTACCAGAATTAGGCGAAATATTACTAATTGGCAATTTTATTGAGAATCTATGTTTGTGTTTGTTCAATTGTTAACGAACTGTAATCGAAACTGAGAGAAACGGATTTATTCGGTTCGACATTTACGGCAATCAGATTAAACCCTGTTGTTCACGTAAGAGTCCATAAAATATAATTATGGGTGCGAAGTCTTCTCGTTTGTCATATTCATTTCATTGGATTTTTAATTATATGCGAAAGAAACACTGGAATGTAAAGCATTGAACACTTGTGTAAACGTTCAATTATTTTTTAATAGTTCCCGGCATTCATATATAGTCTCGCAGAGTTTTATGGCTAAACGTATTTGCATGATCCCGAGTAGAAAGAAAAGAACAATATTACGTAAGCGTAGAGTTACTGTAAAAAGTGATAATGCCTTGGAAATAACTTTACGGAAATACATACCCGATTGTTTTAAAGAACTTTGAATA